ACTGCTACTGCTACTACAACTACAACAACTACAACAACAACAACAACTACTACTACTACTACTACTACTACAACTACAACTACAACTACAACTACAACTACAACTACAACTACAACTACAACAATTACTACTACTACTACTACTACTACTACTACTACTACTACTACTACTACTGGCTAGTTGGGCTCACGACAGGCGATCCGATGGTGCCTGCATCCTGGGGCTTTCTGCACGACTGTTTCGCTCGTGTCGGTGGCCAGGAGGCCGGCAGTGCGAAGAACTGCAATTGGAGTCCATGCAGGACCAGTAAAACTTGGCCTCCTGTGTTATTGTATTCTGCGCCAGGCACCATTCACTGTTCGTGATGAACTTGATCCCACCAGGCACATCAGCATAGGAGTTGTTGAATTTGCTGCAGTAAAGCTTCCGCGAAGCTGAGGTAAACACATCTTAGGGATAATGGAAGTTCAAACGATTCAGTTCGTCAGCTCTGCGCCCCTGCACGCAATTGTCGTCAACGCAAAACCACCGAGGAAACCAACGATGCGACCGGACAGCAGCCGCGCACTCTTCCAGTCTGAAGCTCGCTGCAGTGGCCTGGATGCAGTTGTGGCTGTTTTGCTTTTGCATTAAGCACCTTGATATTTCCTCGTGGATGCCTGGACATGGACAGGACTGCTTTGTCAGTTGTTCTAGCCGAAACATGCCGACTAGAAAATTATCAGCATGAAAGCTTTCTGAAGGCACCATGGTTCAGATTCAATCGCCCTGCGTGGTGGGCGCGTCTTGGCAGAGATGATGGGAGCTACAAGGTCATTGTGTTGTATTCACCGGCGTGTGGGTTCAGGACAACTTGTGGCTCTGGCGTGCAGACCATTGGCTGAGCGATCGGTACCTGGTCTACAACCATGCACCTCGGAGAGCACGGTACACGTCATTATTCTCTTGCTGAGTTTGATTTGGAATATGTTCCAAGGAGAACCGGTGCGAGACGGGACTGCATGTTGGGCCCGATGCAAGATACGTGGGGCCCTGAATGTCCTGACATTGGACTTATTGATGCGGCTTCGAGTCTCTCTTCTCCGTCTGTCTCTCAGGTTACGATGTACGGGCTTTTCGTAGAGCACACCTTGGGTGACATGACGTATTGGGAAGGACTGACCACGGAACTGTTCATGCGTGTCCACTTGCATCACACAGCCAGGAAGCCCCTAAAGTAGCAAGGCAAATCCGGAAAGAGACAGAAGGTGCGCGCGCGCCTTCTTTGTGACGATTCAGTTTACAGATCTAGACGTCTTTCTTCTTATGACGATGGACCCGCTGTACGCCTTGCAAGCTGGAGCGCGCAGCGTGTCCGTTTTGCTAGCTGGCCAAGACTGCGCATGCGAAAGCTGCGGGCATACTGACAGGAGAGGATGGCACCACCTTCTTCTATCAATCGGAGCTGCCATATGATGCCATGGATGTCCAAAGCTTAGAGGGTTGGCTTGAAAAGAACGGTGTCTCCTTGTCAAATGCTTTCATTCAATTTACAAATGGCCTTTCTTCAGCTCGAGGCTGATGCTGCCAGAAAGGTCTCGACGATGCCGTTCTCTGGTTGTGGGTATCCCGCAAGTGATTGGCTTATCTCCGTTTTTGTTTGTCTTGGTTTCCCCGCATACAGTAGACTATTGACGCAATCGAAGCACGAACGATGAAGAACAAGGGGGTCATGGACAGTGCAGAGTTTTCATCATTGTCATTGTGGGCACGCGCCCGCTCGTGCGAGTCAGCTCGCACTAGAACCCCTGAAGGTATCGCGTGGCGGATTCTGTGCAGCGCCACACAGCACATGGTGCCCGAATCAGATTCGTGGGGACACGTCTCATACTGCGGTCTGCCGTGAAGCCGCAGGTGTCGGGGTCTACTGCTACTTTCGGGACTACGATATCATTGTCCCGGCTGGCATCAGAACACCAGATGGCGTTGCTTTGCCGTGATTTGACCTGCAGCCCGACATGTCTGTTCCCCTGTGTAGTGATCTCGAAGCAAAGTGCAAAAGCCTTGAGCAAGTGCGAGAGATTTCACTCGTTTCATGCCTCGAAGTGAGGAAGGAATCAAGTTCCGGCACCTTGTCTTGAAAGGTTGGAGTGCAGCAGAGTTGGCAATGACAGTATAGACGGCCTGCATCCTGTAGAACCAGGCACGCATGACGTGGAACACGAGCGTGGCCGATTATTTATACTTAGAGTATGTTAGAGTCTCAGGAATGCTTTCACAAAGTGGCTCAACGGCGGTCCCAAAGTTTTTGCACCCGAGTTGCATCCTCAGCAATCAGTTGTGAAGCCCACTATGTAGTGAGTTGTGCCGTTGCGTGCAGACTTGTCGCGTCATGTCACATGTGGCTGTTGCTATGACAAAGGTCATGCTTGCTCGTCTGTGAGAAGAAGTACGGGTGCATTCAATGCTGCTTGTCTTGTGATAGCGCAGGATCGTCGCCACCGCTGTAATTGTGAATGTCATTGCAGAGTGCGTTATGCAGCTTGATTTTGCAGCGCAGCTACGCTGCTGCAGTCTACGTGTCACTGGAGCCCCGAGTGTGACAGTGTGCTCCTTGTAAAGAGTCTGCTCCGCTGAAGAATGTGAGAAGCTGCGTGAGAGGTGTTCTTCAGAAGGGCTCTCGCCGCTTGGGTCCGTCCACAGATAGTAACAAGGACAGGTGGATAATCGGAAACATCTGGACGTTCTCTGCAGCCTAGCTTCTCTGCCAACTGCCGACCAAAGAGGCTTGAACGCTCAAGATTTTCAACAAAGGGCCCCTGCCCGAAGGACAAGCCCCACTTTGTCAACGCGTGACGCGCAGGCCTGCAACGGATGACAGACACTTGTTTGGCCTCCAAATCCCAGAGATGTATCAGATGTGTGCGCATTTGCCAGGTCGTGTGGGTCAGGGTTCGTGATTGGCGACTCTGCTGGCGGATGGCAGTCCTTGTAAACATGCGAATCGATTCTTGTACAGTGAAGGAATTCATGTTGCAGCCAGGGTTTCAGGAAACCTCAAGAAGACGGCCTTGAACAGATGCGAAGTGGCTTGCGGAGGCTTCTTGTTTTCGTATGGAATCCAACAGAGCTCGTGTCCACACCATGCGCAGCCGCTGTACAAAGACGAATGCCTCTGCTGCACCGGGCATGCATATGCGAGTGGTGCACAGTGTCGATTGAAAGTTGCTTGTGGCTTCCAGTGCTCTCTGGCCTACAGGGTCCTTCTTTTGGCGGGGCTTCGTCGTCTCTGCTGGCGCTTGTTGTAAACCTTTGGCTTGTCCATGTATCAACCAACCTGAGCACGTTGGAGTTGTGTGCTGCATGGGCAGCCGAGCCAAGTTATCAACAATCAGTTCCCACAGAGGCCGCAGAGGAGGATGCCAGCCGACCACTTTCTCCCAAGGAGGTGGGACTGGCTGGCAGCATTTGTGGAAGATTGAGTTTCAGCTAATGCTCCCAAGCTCACCTCTGGCTCGAGCTTAGAGGGTGATCGAACGTGCGAGAGCCGAAGGTGCATCTGCAGGCACGCTTGACCGAGGCCAGCTTCCTTGGTCGCACATGCAAGTGGGAAGCTAAAGCAGCAGCCATTCAACTTGGTACCAGTCGCATGGAGGCAGAAGAAGCACAGGCGCAGATGGAGGCCGAACTGTGCTTTTCAACCCCACCCAAGACAGGAGAGCCAAGGGCGTCATAATGCTGTCGTCGCACAGTGTCGGATTGTAAGCAGGCGGAGACTGCCAAGCTCTTAGAGACCGCAGAGAGCGACAAAGTCGTGCGTACCCCAGGCCCAGCAAACTGTGCTAAAGCAGCGAACGACCCCAAGTGATGATTGAGGCCTTCGGCCACGAGCTTCGTGCACTTCAACGGAGTGTCCGCTCCGAGCTGGACGTGCTGCTCCAAGTGCCGAAGCAACGAGGGCCTTTCTCCCCGGTTGTAACTTTGCTGTCTCAGGCTTCCTCAGACACCGCATTGCCTTCGGCACGCCAGGCGATGCGGTACTATGCGGTAGCCTGCACATGCCCGTGCGCAGTGTTCTCCGGTCCAGGCCCGCCTGGCAGCACAGCTGGGCGAGATGCGGATCGAGCGCGAGCAGGTTTGCAGTGCAACTGTCGGTTCGGATGGCGATGTCTCTCGTCGTTGTACTGACATCGCACACACGGGCGCTTCGTCGAAGAAGAGCTGCATATTGCACAGGGACAACAGCTTTGTACGTACGTACGTGCATACTCCTGCGACAATGTACGAGCTACCTGCATTCAGGCATAGAGACCTACACCCTCTTTGTACTTAACGTATGCATGCTTACATAGTTCTCCCCATCACCCACAAGAAGCACACCTACGCAGGTACATGTTTTCTTGGGGTTTACGCATGTATCTTCCTTTGCCGTGCATACATACCCTTATTCGACCCGTAAAAACAAACCTTGAAACGGTCTACACACATACAGACAGGAGAGTAGTTGTGGTAACCGTCGTAGAAGTAGTAGTCATCCTAGTCGTAGAAGCAGTCGTCGTCGTCGTCGTCGTGGTCGTCGCGAAGTCGTAGAGTGGAGTCGTAGTCACAGCCGCAGTGGTTGTGGTAGTCGTCGTCGTATTCGTAGTCCAAGGCGTGGTCGTCGTGGTAGTGGCAGCGGTCCTCGTAGTAGTCGTAGAAGCCATAGTTGTGGTGGCAGCAGTCGTAGTACTAGTAGCAGCAGCAGCAGGAGGAGGAGGAGGAGGAGTTGTAGTAGTAGTAGTAGTAGTAGTAGTAGTAGTAGTAGTAGCAGTAGCAGTAGCAGCAGCAGTTGCAGTAGCAGTAGCAGTAGCAGTAGCAGTAGCAGTAGCA